TTTTTGTGTTTTGGTGGGGTTTTCCCCCTCCCTGTCTTTCGTTAGAAGACCGGCGCTCGGTGGAGAGCTGCCCCCTCTCCGCATGCCTACGTAGAGGGGGAGACTCGAGCCCGAGTGACAGGAATGGGGAAGGAGGGAGATTCTGCCCTGTTTGCTTCCTAGGAAGACCACTCTCGTGTCTCTGTCCTTCAATAGCCCCCCCCCCCAGGCTGGCCTCCTTTCTTCAGTCTGTCTGTCCAAGCGTGTGTCCCTCCCGAGCAGCGCTCCCCGCAGCTGCAGTTTTGCAAGAGCCGGGAAAGAAACTTAAGGATGCTTACACTGCGAGCGTGGAACGGATTCTGAAGGCCTGGAGAGAGCAGCGCGCGACCCGATCCCCACCTGTCCCGCCTGGGAGCCTCGCAGGCTGGAGGGAGGCTGGAGAGCGGCGGCGCCCGGCAGCGAGGCGGGCGCTGCCGGCCGGGACTCGGGCAGTGCCCACCAACCCCTCCGCCCCGGGACCGCCAGCATGAGCAAGCCAGCCGGATCAACAAGTGGGTACCTCTCGGGCCGCCGCGGGGGGCCCAGGCGCGCAGCCCGGGGGAGGGCGGGCGGGGAGGCCCGGGGCGGTCCTGCCCGGAGCGCTGCGGCTCCCACCGGGAGACTCCAGCGGTCGTGGGCCCTTTGGCCCAGCTTCTCGTAGACCGTGAGCTGGAGCGTTTCGCGGGAAGGGGAGAGCAATTTCGTTGCTTCTGGATTGCTCCCTTCTCTCTGGTGCGGTGGGAAGGCTGCGACTCACGCAGCCCACTAGCCAGTCCAATGAGTGGTTCCTATGTAGCCGCCAGGTGCAGCGGCGGGGAGAGGGACACGCGGGGCGGGGGTGGTGGGGGGACCGGCCACCGCTCCCGGCCGCAGCACAGGAACACTCTCGCTCCAAACTCCGAGCTCCTGCGCGCAAAAGCAACTCTGTGCAAAGCGGATTTTGAATGGAATGCTTTACACCCCGTTTCTTGCTATTTCGAATAATCCTGCAAACTGGGAAGCAGAGACCATGTAAAAGTCACATTTTCCTTTAATCCTAAATCCGCGCAGGTCATAACTGGGGAATTTTAAGTATGGCGAACCACTCGAGCAAAGGGAGGACCAAAGCTCTAATCCCAGGACTTTTTGAGCGGGAGCTCAGCACCCGCCGCGGTGCGCGGCCTGCCTCCCTACCGACGCGTCTCCCTTTCCCGCAACTTCTTCAGCCGCTGGCGGAGGAATGCCAAGCCTCGGCTGATCTCCCCCCACCCCCACCCCCGACGCGGGAGCGAAGGGCTACTGGGGTGCGCAAGGGTATTTGCGTGCTCAGTCTCCGCGGGACTCGAGAATTTGCAGGCCCGAGCCGGCGTTCGGAAGGCAAAGCCGTGGGGCTTGGGTCGCCCCCCTGGGGCTTTTCGTTCCCGCCTTCTAGGGGGAGCCGAAGTCGCGGGCTTTCGGGGAGATGGCTGGGGCGGCCGTGGCACAGGTTCCCCCACATTGCCCCGGGGTGTGGTTTTTCCCTTAGAGCATTTTGGGGGGCGCTGATCGGTCCTTTTCGCCCCCGCCCCCGCCCCCAGCCCCCATTGTCCCGCGTCTTTGAAAGTTGGGAGCGTCGCAGCTACTTCTGAGGACTGGTAATGAAGTCCCCCTGCAGGAGGATGCAGTTCCCGCCCCATCTCCCACCCGCGCTAGAAGTAGTGTGTGTCTTCCTTCTGTCCGTTTGGTTTGAGTGCTGCCCGATGAAAAACTGGAGCAAAATGAACGTGAACAAAAAGAGGAACAGAACGTCTGGAGCTGGGGCAGGGCGAGCAGAGAAGGAAAGTCCTTGGTGGCGGGAATGCGCGGCCGATCTTGCGGCGTTTCCCGTTAGCCTTGGGCCTACCCTGGCCCTAGCTGTTTCGAGCCCTGGGACCTGGGGCTCACTTGCTTTGTGTTATCAGAGTCCTGGGGCGAGTGTGCGGCCCAAGAGGCCTTTCCAAGTCTCCACTGCAAAGACCCGCAGGCGGCGGGCCTGGGGCGGGGGAGGTCTGCGGGCCGGCTCGCTCGGAGCCAGACCCTCCTCGCCTCTGCCCTGGAAGTAAAGCGCGTCGGGTTGGGGTGCCCACTTGGGTGCGAAGACCACCCCCCTCTGGGAGGCTTGAAAGGTGAGGCCTCGGACGCGTGGAAAGGAACAGATGCGAAGCTCGGCTCGTCGGCCTGCGACCTGAGATGCGGGCGGACCTTCGGATGGGGTGGGAGCAGAGCAGGCACACTGGGGGGCGGGGGGACTGGGGTGCTTTCCCGCCGCTGCCGAGGCTGCCCGGGCCCGCGGGGCAGCGGCCCCCCGCCCGCA